ATCTCTCAGCCCGTCCCGCACCCTCTCCAATCTGGGACACCTCAGGGAATCTTGGACATCCCCCTCACAATCTGGGATTGCTGGTTCTTAACTGCCTGCCTGCCAGCCTGATTGTCCCCTAACTGCCCCCCTGCCAACCTGATTAATGTCTAACAGCTGCCTACAAATGTGATCGCTCCCACCTGTCCTCCCCTGCTGGCCTGATCGCCCCCAGCTGCCCTCCCCTGCAGGCCCAATCCACCAACTTGCCCACCACTGCCTCAACCTACCTCCTCCACTGGGACCCACCTCCTGCACGTGAGGTGGCAGAGATGCTGGGACCAGCCTCCTCCATGCCTTGCAGAGCTGCAGGGTCCCTAGGCCTCATTGTGCAGAGCAGCCGCAGGGCCAACCCTCCACTGAGTATGCAGCCATCATCTGGTGGCCATCTTGTGGCAATGTCACGCTCAAGGGCGGGAGGTCCACCTAGCATTTTATTAGTATAGTTAGTTAATAAATATGTCATTTAATAGTCATTTAATAACATGAGGTAAGGAATTAAAGTGTAAATAGCCAAGTATTTATATGCAAATAACAAGGGCATTGGCAAGAAAAGCAGGGCTGAACTGGAACCCCTGGGGAAGCCAATACTTCCTTAAGCAGCAGTGTGATCCAACCAGGGGGGAGAGGTCTTCTCTCCCTTGTTTCCCCAGTACACTCAGTCCCTGGGAACTAGAAGGCACCCCCTCTCCCAGGGGTACAGGTATCCTGGTGCTCTGTCCCCTGGCTCACCAGTTATTTATAACATATTTGACCTCCTATCCATAGAGGATCATTCACTTTCACCCCTCTCAACAAGTCTTGAGGTTGTCAGAATATTTGGGTCCCTGAGCCTACTTGTGCTCCCAAGCTTTTAAGATCATGCACAAATGTGTGCCCTGTTCTGGTGTAGCAGATTCTTCACCATTAAAAGCTAGTGTAGTCAAAATCGGTTTGGCTCAGTGGATAGAGCATCAGCCTACCGACTGAAAGTTCCCAGGTTTGATTCCGGTCAAAATCCTAAGCAATCAAATGACTGAACCACTGAATGATGGGTCCACTGGTGTGAATAACATAAACTAACCACCAGGGGCAAATGGCCAATGCATAAGCTGCCCTCTGGTGGTCAGTACACTCCCATAGCAGGAGCACAGCTCAGCTGACCAACTTGTCCTGGTGGCTCACCAGCCTCGCAGTAGCCACTCACTCCCTCAGTAGTCCTACAGGTCCTGTCTCCAGAGAAAGAGCCAGGTATCAATGGACCTGCACAACAGGCATATCAACAGTGCCGCTGGCCTCCTGGAAGTCGGCCTTGGGCACTCTGGCTGCTTCCCCTCCTAAGAGGCTCTGCAAGGAAGGAAGTATATAAAAGCAGCCAACAGGTGGCTCCCAACAACCAGTGCAAACAGCGGGATGGATCTGGAGCCCAGGCTAGGAAGGGTGTCCCACTATCTGCCCAAAGGGCTAATTGAGTCCCTCCCCCTCTTACTTACTCCTCTCCCCAAACCCTCCTTGGGATGGGCACCAAACAGAGGGCTCAAGGCTGGTGAGCACCACTGCAGTGACATGAGCCTCTCCTGATGAGGACTGACTGGGCACGACCCTGTGTAGTGCAGTGGGGCTGGGAGAGCAGGAGTGGCAGGAGAGGCAGGAGGGATTGGACTGCTCATTTTGGCCCAATCTTCACAAACCAAACCAAGAGACCCCACCCATATATGAATTAGTGCACTAGGCCTCTATCTATAAAAGGCTAACATGCAAAGTGTCCCCTCAGGAGTTTGACCCCTCAGGAGTTTGAGCAAGAGACACACTATAATGTGCTTTGACCACCAAGAGGCGACATGGAACAAAGGAAGGCCCTGGCTGGCAGCCTGGGAAGGGAGGCCCCCACAGGGACCCCACCTGTGCACCAAGTTTGAGTACTGGGCCTCTAGTATAAAACAATAAAAAGTGTGTTTACAAATTAATAAAAGCAAATATCCATAACAACAATGGGGAGGCATCAGTCTAGCAGCATGCACATTTCCCGCTAGTGCTTCTCTGAGGCTCATTCAGTTCCAGGCTCCTCAGAGGTGCAGCTCACGTGACCCAGCCAGCTGCTCCAGGCCTGTGGTACCTGTTGCATGGCAACCATTGGTTCTGGCAGTCACCTAGCAACAGGGAGGAAAGGAGTTGGGGCTTCCAGGAGGTCCAGAGAGCGGCCCCAGCAATTCGGATGGGCCTGATTCCTCCCCGCACAGGCCGGCCACTCCCGCCCAGTCCCCGAAGCTTCAACTGGAAGGTCCCCTGGGGGCCCTTCAGCAGCCTTGGCCACGCCCACGCCCACGGCCACGGCCACACCCACGCCACGGCCGCGCCGCCGCCACGTGAGGACCACCCGGGGCTCTGCTCCGGACTTCCGGGCACCTGGGCGTCGAGAGGCGCGGCGGTGGGAGCAGTAACTGAGGTAGCAGCCGCCAGCTCCTTCCCACCCTCCCCGGACGACCCGGGGCCATAGGGGAACAGAGATTAGACCACGGGGTGTGTGGTGGAGGTTGACCCTGAAGGGGAAGGGGAGCAGGAGGAGGACGGGCCGCAGAGGAGGGCCTGGATTCTGAGGACACTGAGGAAGAGGAGGGAGAGGACCAGGAGGCCTCCCATTCCCTGGAGGAGAGGGAGGAGGAGAGGGAAGAGGACGCCGCGGCAGTGACTGCAGGGAAAGCAGCTCAGGAGGCGCCGCTCCTACAGCAGCTTCCAGGTACCCACTGCCCCTGGCTGAGGGCTCCCTCCCCACTCCTCCGCCCTCACCCCGTCTCCCAAACCCTAACCCGAACCCTAACCTCCACATCCCCCCCGCCCCCCGAGGGCAAATGCCAGGACACATCAAGTCACACACACACACACACACACACACACACACACACACACTCACACTCACACACACTCACACACACTCACACACACTCACACACACACACACACACACTCACACACACTCACACACACACACAAAACAAAAAACAAACAGCACACCTAGATTCACCAGCGGAAAGAGGCGCATGCTTCATGGAGATTGCTTTGTTGCAATTTGCAGGCCACATACTAGTTCGCTCTTTCTCTGCCCCAACCCTGCCATTTTCCTCTTCAAAATTTGCCCAGTGCAGTGTCTCCGTGAGGCAGGATCAAAACTTTGGCACATGGATCCATTGCATTCATTTTTCTCCCCTTGTGTTGGATTGTTTTTTCTTTTTTTTGGAATGAAAGAAGCCTCTTGTTTTGCAGACTTTTATATTTCTAATGTGATTTCTTTTAGATTTTTATTGTGTATCTGTTTTTTAAAAGGGACTTGAGGATTTAGACAGGTTGCCTCCCTCCTTGCTCACTCACACGCATGCTCTCTCTCTCTCCCCCTAGCTGTGTAATTTTTGTTTTTCTAGAGACTGATCCTCATATCCTCTTGGTTTTTCAAGGCTTTCGAGATGAATACCTATAAAACAGGAAGCTCAAGCAAAATCTATTTACTTCAAACCATTAATCTATGCAGCCTTTCAGATAAATGCATAGAAGAACTTTGTTGTGTTTAGAATTCAGTGCTTTCTCCTGAGTTTTATGAGACTATTGACCAAGATTTACTAATTATAAATATAAATATATAGGCATTAAAGGTATGGATATAAAATTGATATTAACTTCAACTGGAAATGTTTTCTTTAATGTCCTTTAACTTTAAGAAGACATCTTTTAGGAAGCATATCTATTAAGAAAAAAACATTCCCCAAATGGAAATAAGGCAACAGGATGGCTGCATGCCTTTTAATTACATTGGGAAATTGTCTAAAAGGCCCACCCCAAGGGGAGGGGGATGAACTTTTGATTGATGCTCTATTTACTATTTTTTAAAAATATCTTTTTTTTTTTCAGAGAGGAAGGGGGAGGGATAGAGAATTAAAAACATCTATGAGAGAGAAACATCGACCAGCTGCCTCCTGCACACCTTCTACTGGGTATATGCCTGCAACCAAGGTACATGCCCTTGACTGAAATTGAACCTGGGACCTCTCAGTCTGCAGGCTGACACTCTATCCATTGAGCCAAACCAGTCAAGACCTTTATTTACTATTGATTGCGCTGGAAACTTTGTGCACTTACATGTTAACTTGTAAATTTTTATTCAGCACAGATGCAAATGTGTGTGTGTGTGTGTGTGTGTGTGTGTATGTGTGTGTGTGTTTCGGTAGAAAAAATATTTGCAAAAGTTAGTTATATTGTAATATTGAATATTACTTTATTTTTCTCTAAGTTAACCAAATTTCAGAATGCCACCTCAACTAACTGTATAAATCTCTGTTCCTCAGATGATAATAGAATCAGTTTTATAAAGGTTAAGTACATCTTTGATATATATATGCAATCTGCCAAATTTGAATGAGTAATGTTTTTAAAATTTTTATTTTTAAAATTCTTACTCTCTATGTTTTCACACTGACAGTAGAAAGGAAGTGGGGAGGGAAGAGAGATGAGAGAGAGAGAGAGAGAGATATCAATGTGAGAGAGACTCACCAACTCATTGCCTTCCACCTGCACCCAATGAATGTCAGGATAAAACCTGCAACCCAGGTACCTGCTTTTGACTGGAAGTTAAAACTAAGACCCTTCAGTATGAGGGCCTACATTCTAACCATTGAGCCATGCTGGCTGAATGAGTCATGTTTTTAGCTTCTTAAAAATGAAACTCTGATGTCTCATTAAAAAAAAAACACACACACACAACAACACACAAAGCCAAAGCTCAGCAATTCTAGTATTGCTTTTTCCTCTCAAAGTTCAAGTGAAGTTAAATTGGATATGTTTATTTAATGCACAGTTTTTACAATCAGAACAGAGCAGTAATTGTTGCTTTAGAAAAAATAATTCAGGCCAAGAAGCTCCCAGGAGGTGAGTTGAGAGAGACTAGAAATGGGTGGCTGGGACCTAGTATCCCTTCTTATCAGTCATCAATTTGCTCAGGATATTGAATGACTCCTGCTCAGGTTCTCCACAGAGTCCAGCTTCCAGTTCATTATACATTCCTGAACTTCTGGATTATTGGGGTTGGCACAGACACTCTTCCCCGCTTTGGTGGTGAAGCTGGAGAATAAAGGGGAGAAAGATTACACATTGAGGAGGGTTCTGCAAATAAAGATGGGGAGCCCCACCCTCTTGGCCCTTCAGATTCTCCATTCAGCCCAGCTTGTTCCTTTCTCTGCTGCAGGAACTCAGGGTGTCTCCTCTCTGAGACATTCACTTCCTCAGCCTGTGAGACTTCCTTAGTGACTCATGAGAGTTTCCTGGTGCAGACCTGCTCCTGCTCTCTCCTTCCTTTCCTAGCTTCCATATTCAATGGGAACGTATCATATCTGTTGCTCTGCAGGATAAAAATGAGGACACAAGCCTCCCTTGACTTTGAAGGATCCAGAGGATGTTACTTTTATGGGCATCCATCCATCATCCAGGGCCCTCCTCCCAAGATATGGCTGGTATGCTTGGCACTTACATGACACCAGGCTGGGCGCACCCACTGGTCGTTAGATAGTAACTTTTCATGTTATTGCATCGGATTTTTCGTGAGGTATAGCCCGGGCAGCAGTCAGAAGGACGGTGAAAGCCTGTAGGAAGAGAAAAGGCAGGTTAATGACTATTTCCTTTCCTCCTTCCCTCCAAAGTACGGGGGAGGGTGAGAAGGCACAGAGCTCAAAGGGCTTGTTTTCCTCCTCGACAGCATTGCTGGCATCTCCTTGCTTCACATTTCCCCAGGTTGTGTTGTGCCTGAGGGCACCCAGGCCAAGGATACAACAGGGCCAGGACCATTTCTCCCAGAAGTGGAGGGTTTGATCCTTGCAGGAGGCATCAGAGAACACCCTTTCCCCTAGGCGAGCCTTCTTTACAACAGGCCGGAGGAAGAGAGGTCATCTATGGAGGAGGGATCCGTGGCCCAATCTGATCTTCCCTGTGGGTGTTCACCATCTTCAGCACCCTTTCTCTTTCCCCATGTCCTAAACAAGGTGAATGAAGCCACTGAGCAGATCTGGATTCTCCAGCTGCTTTTAAATATATGCCTTGTTCAACACTTGGTTCAACACTCAACCACTGGTTACACTGTCCAGGCTCATTTACCAAGAGATTCTGTAATTTGGTTCATCTGCTCCATCACCATTCTTCCTTCTATTTGGGAGAAAAAGACAAGAAGGAAAGAGAAATCACTGGAAGGCAGCAGTGTCTCAGTATCTCCACCTATCCCATTTCTCAGCCTAATCCCCTTCCCCAGACTAGGAATTGACCCCATGACCCTTCTGTCCTAGAGCTGATACTCTAACCAGTGAGAAAACAGCGGGGCTATATTACCTTTGCAAAACCTAAAAGATTCTAGACCATCTAGACCAGTGGACATTTTTTTTTTTTTTTGACCATGCCACATCTAAGCATCTCTAAAATCCTGATGACCTCCTGGGACATATAAGTCTTATCATTCAAAAAGCAAACTCCTATTCACATGGAGGAAGCCTAAAAGGCTATTAACTTGGTCTAAACAAGCTTCCAAGGAACATGGCATTCATGAAAGAAAGAAATAAAAGAATGGAAGGACAGTTGGAGTACTGAGGAAGAAATCATTAAAAATTTGTTTTAAAAAATAATATGAAGTGATATAAAAAAAATCAAATAAAGTTTCAAGACATAATAGAGTACTGAAATGCATATTTTATAATATATATTTATATACTGTATATGAGGTCCCTAGACCATAAGAAATGTAAAAAAATTCACTGTTAATAACTCATTCTCGATTTGCCCCCCTTAAAAATCAAATTGCCGCCGAAATTGGTTTGGCTCAGTGGATAGAGCATCAGCTTGCAGACTGAAAGGTCCCAGGTTCGATTCCGGTCAAGGGCATGTACCTTGGTTGCAGGCACATCCCCAGTGGGGGATGTGCAAAAGGCAGCTGATTGATGATTCTCTCTCATCGACGTTTCTAACTCTCTATTCCTCTCTCTTCCTCTCTGTAAAAAGTCAATAAAATATATATATTTAAAAAAAAATCAAATTGCCCCCCTGTGGGGGGGGGTGTCCCACGTTGAGAAACACTGACCTAGACCCAATGTTTTGGGTAAGGGATTGTAGACCCGCATTATGCTAATTAGGTAAAGACAACTAAACTTTTAGCTCATTTCTTATATCGTTACCTATGAATTATACTTAATAAGGCATATGATATGTTGCTTGATATGATGTGTGTGGGGCTTGAAAATAAAGTCTTAAGTGGCCCCGTTTTTCTGTAATAGCTTCCTAACTAGCTCATATCCTAATGTCACTATTTATTTATTTATTTATTTATTTATTTATTTATTTATTTATGTATTTATTTTTGTTTTCTAGCTTTTTTTATTCTTTTAACATCTTAACAAAAGAATATTCCCCAAAGTTTTAAAAAAATACAGTTTTACATTATATACAGACATCTGAGTACAGATTCCAATATCATACAAACACTGCTATGTTAGAAATTCAGTGGGAAGGCATGATATAATTCACTGCCTCTTGGAGGGTGTAGGCTCATGGATATGTTTTATTACTCCAACTATTATACTTCTGTTACTTGTTACCCTGATAAACTATTAGGCACCTGAGAGGTTGGAAGACTACTGAACATGAACTTCAATACCCTCTATTTTGATCTTTATAATCTCTTTACAAGTTTACTTCATCTACAACTAAGCTACCTTTATTGTCATTAGCCTAAATGATTGAATATTAACCACATGTATATTAACCACAATATACATACCGATCAAATTAAACTTAAAGTTGTATAGCCAACTTGTGTAGGTTACATATATTTAAACCTAGGAAATTCCCTAATGCATTGTGAGCGATCTAAATTCTATTAAAGAGAAGTAGCAATTCTATAGTTTCCATGCTCTGGACACTACTTTCTAAAAAAAAAATTAAAAAATGACTGACAATAATTGGAATTGATTTCTTTTATGTTAATCAAGAAACCTATAGTAAAAAATTCTAAATGATAGTTTTATTTGTATTTAAAAATACATTGGAAATTCTGTGTATGCCCATGATCAAGCTTATTTTCAATATTGATGACATGGCCGAAACCGGTTTGGCTCAATGGATAGAGCGTCGGCTTGAGGACTGATGGGTCCCGGGTTCGATTCCGGTCAAGGGCATGTACCTTGGTTGCGGGCATATCACCAGTAGGGGGTGTGCAAGAGGTAGCTGATCGATGACTCTCTCATCGATATTTCTAACTGTATTTCTCTCCCTTCCTCTCTGTACAAAATCAATAAAATATATTTAAAAAGTATTGATGACATGGTTTGATCTGACAAGTCCTTTTTCAAAGTAGGGAGACGCCTGTACATTTCCACTGGCCCTGCTGCCAATGATGCATATTGCTTCCTTGCTAACGATGATGGATTCATCTGCCATTTATCACCTGAACAGGTTTCCGACCGTAATGATAATAACTGTAAGCTGATGCAACCGTGGTGAAAGCTGTGAAGCACCACAGTACTGGAAGATAAAAGCCGTGAGCATAATTGAAAACCGGAGCTCCCAAAGAAGCTGCTACCAAGATTAACTGGACTGCTGTGTTTACCTTGCTGATGAAGGTTGGTTTTAACCTAGCAGTAGCATAGCAAGGATTGAAATACTTAGAAAGTGTTCTCGGTTCTGAAAGATATCTGACATAAAAAACAGCAACAATCAACATTATCTCTCTTGAAACTATCAAATAAGTAAGTGGAACTGGAATAAGATCTACATAGGTCAAGCCAACATATAAGATACTGATAAGTATTTTATCAGCAAGTGGATCAAGAGCACTTCCCAAAGCTGATTTTTGACTGGCCCAGTTTCGAGCAATAAATCCATCCAACAAATCAGTTAGCCCAGCTAAAGCAAAAACTCCTAGGGCCACATTAAAATCTTCCTCAATGATCAAATAGCCCAATTCTCGTCATTGACAACATATTTGGTATTGTCCATGGGTTTTCATACAGGTTGGCGGCGCTCTCCGGGCACCACGGGCCGCCCGGGGGCCTCGGCGGCGGCGCCCTCTCGGGCGGGGGGCGCTGGGGCCGCCTTCCCCACGCAGTGTCCCCGCGGGCCCGCTCCGGGCGGCCTCAGGCACCCACCAGCGCCCGCCAGGCGGCCTCAGGCAGATGGGTGCTGGCGGCAGCAGGGCCCCGAGACTGCGCCCCTTGCCCGGTCGCGCCCATGTGGCCCCGCGCCACGCGCGAAGCCAGCATGGCCCCTGCGGCCGCGCTGCGGGGATGCAGGCAGCTCGGGCACCGATGAGCCGCTTCCCCGTTGAGCGCCCACAACCTCCCGAGACCTCGGGCGCTTCCATACTTGTTTTCCCTAACGTCACTATTTATTGTCTGTGTGATCTTGAGCAAGTTTTCAAAGGCTTCTGTGCCTTAGTTTTCTCATTTATAAAGTGAGAATAATAACTATTTAATATGTAAAACTGCATAAGTTGCTGATAGTTTATTATGATAGTTGTTAGGGTGATTTAATGTATTAATATCTATAAGACAATTAGAGCAGCGCCTGCTTGTACATAGACAGTGCTAAATATTTGTTGTTTAAAAATAGAATGAGCCTAAACCAGTTTAGCTCAGTGGATAGAGCGTCAGCCTGCGGACTAAAGAAAAGGCCCCGGGTTCGATTCCGGTCAAGGGCATGTACCTTGATTGCGGGCACATCCCCAGTGCGGGTGTGCAGAAGGCGGCTGATCAGTGACTCTCATCGATGTTTCTCTCTATCCCTCTCTCTCTTCCTCTCTATAAAAAAAATCAATAAAATATAGTTTAAAAAAATAAAATAAAAATAAGTAGAATGATTAGGTGGACTTAGGTGAATCACTTATTCAGCTTGACCCATGTCTTCTTCAAAATGATAGTTTTACACTACATGGTATATAATAGTTCTAAATTAGGGTTCTATGCTTCTTTCTTCAGATGTATTGTTCTTTTGATCTGTACATATAGTCAGTCCTATATCAGCTAAGAGAAAATATCAAATAATTCTGGCCATGAAACTGGAGAGAATTGTTTCCCCAAGTGGAACAAGTCTTCTGTATATGGTTTTTCCCATGGACTAAAAGCTGCAGAAAAAGGTCTATACCTACTGCTACTGCTTTTAAACAAGTGCCAAATTCACCTCTATGTTGAGTGTCCCCTTGTGTTTCCTCCCTAACTGCAAGTTACTGTTCATTTGTCCCCAGAGAGAAGGCTCATTGAACTCACCAGTATCCCAGGATTCATGGGCCAGAGATCCATGGGCAGGGGATCCAAGAGTAGTAGCAAGGATGATGAAGGAGAGAGCAGTTGCAGAGACCTTCATCTCCCCAGTGTGCAGATAGCGCTGGCTTGAGGATCCTGGACTCTTTGCTCCCTGATTCCCTGGACCCAGCTCTGCCCTTATATTTATAAGAGGAGGATCAGGAAGTCACAGGGCAGAAGAATGCTATTCTTTGGCTATACAGTCAGCAACATGATATTTCTTAAAAAAAAAAAAAAAAAAAAAAAAGGAACAGCCTAGGAATGCAATAGGAAGTTGAGGGAACAATAATTTGTGACTTTCCCAACTGCCCAATGGATATAGGCAAGAGTGTCAAAATTGGTGAACAGGACCTTCGCCAAGACAGGAATCAGATCGTGTGGGAAGAGCTCTTACATCCTATGAAGATTATGAAAATCCTATAGGAAGAATGTTAACAGTTTATTGAGCTTTATGGGTAAAACAACTTCTCCCCTTAACTTCCCCTTCCTCTCTGTAAAGGAACTACTTTCTTCTTACTTTCTCTTTGTAAAGGTCATGTATGTATATACTAGAGTGCAGTTTTTACTTTTTCTCAAATCTTTTTTTGCAGAAAGTTGACTTTTTCTTTACAATCAACAAGAGTGACCATATTTTATTAAATATCCTTCTTTAGGAGATTTTATTAATTTCAGAGAGGAAAGGAAAGCAAGAGATAGAAACATCAATAATGAAAGAGAATAGTTGATTGGCTGCCTCCTGCATGGCCTCCCACCTCCACCCTACCCCACTCCCTGGGACTGAGCTTGAAGCCCAAGTGCCCTGACACAGGGAATCAAACCATGACTTCCTGGTTCAGAGGTCAACACTCAGCCACTGAGCCAAGATGGCTGGATCTCCAATGGCTTTTGAATTCCACTTAGTGTAAAGCCCGATTCTTATACTAAATTACAAGCCCCTGTGTTATCTGATCCCTATTTGCTCTCTATTATAAGCTCCTATGTGATCTGGCCCCTGTTGGCTCTCTGTTTTCATGTCCTACTACTCCTCCTCACTCCCTCTGCTTCAGTATGCAGGCTGACCCAGATTTCTGTTCCCTCTGCTTAGACCACTCTTCCCTCAAATATCTGTATTACTTTACCCCTACCCTCCTCTAACATTATTTTTTCAGTAAGTCTTTCTGGGACCTCTAAAATTATAATCTCCCCCTGCCCAAATTTCTTTATTTTTTCTTGTGTACTTAACACTTAACATACTACACATTTTGCTTCTAAATCTTTTCATAGATTTCTAAATCTTTTCTAGAACATAAACTCCATGAGAGCAGGGATTTTTGCATCTTTGTTTACTGTTATTTCCCTGGTAGCTAGCATACGGTAGGGTCTTAGTCTAGGTTCCCCTGAAAGAAAAACATGAGCACTAGATAAATTGAGAAGTATTCCTAGGAGCATGAGTGAGGGACTCAACCAGTTGTGGAGATTAGTGCTTGATTCCATTGAGATTTTTAAAGAGCCTTATGAATGCATCTCAGAATATTTTGCCCGAAAGGGGAAGAAAGGGGAAGCATTTATCTCTTGGTTTTCATCTCTATGGCATTTTGAAAATGTGGCCACTTGGACCCTGTCCCTTCTCATAAAGCAGTGGGGTCTATATTCTCTTCTTTAGAAACAGAGAGGGCTAGTGACTGTTGTTCAGTCATGTGACAGCTGAGGCTAGGTTGGAAAAAGCCATGGAGCTTCAATCTTCATCACTAGATTACTCACTCATTCTTGGGACTCTAAGCTACCATGTCAGAAGACTGACTAGCTTGAGACTGCCATGCTGTGAGGAAGCCCAAACTGCATGCAGGTATTCATTCTGATAGACAGTCCCTCATGAACATAACCTTTAGGTCATCCCAGCCTAGGTTCTAGGCAGAGGAGTGAGGAAGCCTCTAGAACTGTAGTACTGCTTGATATAACAAATATTGGCCACAGGCAGTTAATGAGCACTTTAAATGGGGCTAGTCTAACTCTTGAAACAAATGAAAAAATAGAAAGCCTCATTAAAGAAATAGAAAGTGAGAAGTAGAAGATATAAAGAAGAACTAAATGGAAATCATAGAACTGGAAAATATAATAACCAAAATAAAAAGATCAATGGGTGGGGGCAGAGAAAATAGAAACATAACAATAGAAATCACCCAATATGAATAACAGAAAATAGATACCCCCCCACCCAAAAAAAGACCAGATATTGATTTGTAAATTTTCCCCATTCCACTGGTTGCCTTGTCACTCTGTTGACTGTGCCCTTTGATGTACAAAGATTTAGGTTTGATGTAGTCTGTGCGCTTGGTGTCATGTCTATTTTTATTTCTTACAACTGAGTGTAAATCTACAATTAATTCAAAATAAAAAGAATACTTAAAATAGAAAAAAAATAAATGGGGTTAATCTAAATGAAGATGTTCTGAAAGTACAAACTACATCCTGGATTTCAAAGATTTAGTACTTCCCCGACCCCCACAAAAATTGTTAACATGCCTCTTTTTTATATTGAATACATGCAGAAATGATAATATTTTGGATATATTGTGTTAGAGAAAATATATTATTAAAATTAATTTTATCTGTTTCTTTTTATTTTTTTAATGTGGCTATGAGGAAATTCAAAATTTCATATATGACTGCACTGTATTTATGAGACTGAAGCGCTACCTACTGCGCTAACGAGGCACCTTGCACTGTATTTATATTGGAGATCACTGTTCTAGGTGATTCCTCATCCATTTGGAGTCACTCCTTGTCACCCGTGTTTTCCCAGGTGAGAGCCCAGACATCATGGAGCAGAGACAAGCCATCTCTACTGTGCCCTGTATGGATTTCTGACTCATAGAATTTGTGAGTAGAATAAAATAGTTGTTATTTTATACAGTTGGAAGGTTAGACATTCAGTAGTGACAATAGCTAAGCTGGCTTTGATGAGAGAAATCCCATGCTGTTGGAACCATGTGTAGCCTCCATCCTTGTCACCGAAGTGTCTCTGTGTATAAGCTCATGGCATTTAGCACTGTTGTGGCTGAGGGGTGAAGCTATCTGACATCTGCAGGAAAAGTCACAGATTTTCTCCTTTGCTGTAATGCCTTCCACTTTAGTCATGAGTGCTTATTCAGTACTTCCAGGTGGCACATGCCCGAGAATTGAGTGATTCCTGTAGGCATTCTATATCTCAGCATCAGAGAATCTCTGATACAGGAAAAGAGGGGTATGCATGAGGGCCAAAATAAAGTGCTGTCAGATGATATCTACATGGAGCTGGACAAAGTCTGTGCAGAACTTGCTGAGGTGGAGGCCAGAGTAAGAGATGGGGCTGATAGAATGGAAATGGTATACAGAAGTGTCTGACACAGAACTAATTATTTGCTTGTTCAGTGAAAGAAAAAATGAAGGAACACATGTCTGATTTCACAATATACTTACTGCCATTTATTGACTTCCCCAATGTAGAAAACATTTTGTAAGTGTTTTTGTGTACTTTCTGAGTCTTTATACCTCCCCCCACACCCTCATTGGTGACATTTAAGAATCAGATCAGCTTTATTTGTTACTTAGCTTGGCATAAACTTTGGACCCTGTGGGCGTCATTTCTCAGGTGAAGTGTTTACTGTATGAGATGCTTACTATAATTATTTCATAATAGTACCTAGAACATCCCATAGTTTCTTCTCTTTCTGAAATACCAAATGTCCTGTCATCTCTTTCTGTAAATGCTACTCTTACCACATCCTGTGATGTGTGCTTGCATAACATGTTTGTCTAGTATAAGCTGAGGAAATTCAAAATTACATATATGACTGCACTGTATTTATATTGGAGATCACTGTTCTATTCTACTATTTCAGGGGAAGAGGAGGGCAAGGGTCAGTATATCTGAACTAAAATATTCCTTCTTTGGGGTCATCTCCTGCAATTAGTCTATATGGAAATTTTCTGCTGTTACTTCAACCTTCCCTCTCCCTCCTTTCTTATCAGTCCATTTGTTATGTGTCTGTAACCCGGGCACGTCATGTAAAATTAGAATAGCTGTTCCATTTATAGGTCCCTTCTGAGGAAAGAGCCCTGACATTGTGTCTTTTCCTTGCAAACTTCCTTGAGTTTCCAAATGAAACCATCTCAGGTGCCTGACTTCATCTGAGACATGCATGGTGACAAAAGAAAGTTCTTTGAGCTCTGTTTGTTGTCCTCAACAAAGTAGAATTAATGTTTTGGTTCTCTCTTAAAACAGCTGCACGACCTGTTGCGAAGGGCTATCTGGTGCATGCAATCTTTCCACACTTTCCTGGCCACATAAGAGTGGCTTTGGGGCTGGAATCAGTTACTTTTCGGTGCATGGGAGAATACCTTCCAACTGAGCCTCACTGGCCAGGGCCTATAGTGAGTCTTTCATGGCAACTCTTGACACCTACAAACCATGCATAAGGTTGACATTCTGGGACTGCTGCTCCTGGTGATAGATAAGAGGTATCATTTGCTTAACACATCCCAACTTTCAAAGCACAGGATTGCTACTACTTTGAGACCCAAGCAGGAAGGGACTCTGACGTAGACCTCATGCTCTGGAGGTCTCTTTATATCACAAACACATATAAAATTAATTTATCAGGGTACACAAAGTACCTATGTCTCTTGGGATGGGATACTCAGGGCTGGCCCATATGACCTGTAACTCTAAACATCCACCCTTGTGACTAACACAGTTCATGCCTCAAGGGGAAATGTTTCTCTACCTCTCCTGCCCTCTGGTTATGCAATATTAAGTATTCATTTCACTTTTATATTTGTTACCTCATTTATCAGTGTTTTTTATCTAAAAAATTTTTTTTTTATTGCTATCAGAAAGGAAAGAAGAGGGAGAGATAGAAACATCAATGGTGAGAGAGAATCATTGATCAGCTGCCTCCTGTACACCCCACACTGGGGATTGAGCCCACAGCTTGAGCATGTGCCGTGAATGGGAATCGACTTCGTGACCTCCTGGTTCATGAGCCAACATTCAATCACTGAGCAACACAGTCCAGGCAACCATTGTAATTATTTTTAAGT